TCCCCACACATCCAAAATCCTTGAAGCTTTGAAACTCTAAAGCTCTCAAGCATCCAACCCCCACATTCCCAAGAATCCCGAAGAATGGAGAAAGCACTCTTCATTCTTCGTCAAATCCTCCTTCAAGATCAAGCCCCAACGGCCCTTGAAGAACTTCCACTAACTCAAGATCAAGCCCCGACGGCCCTTGAAGAAAGTGTTCATCCGTTCATCCTAAGATCAAGCCCCAACGGCCCTTTGGATCAACAACATCAACAAATCTACACACCAAAACCTTGAAGCCTTAAAGTTCTAAAGCTCTCAAGAAAATCCCGAAGGATCAAGAAAGCACTCTTCGTTCTTCGTCAAATCCTCCTTCAAGATCAAGCCCCAACGGCCTTTGAAGAACTTCCACCATTATTCAAGATCAAGCCCCGACGGCCCTTGAAGAAAGTGTTCATCCGTTCATCAACTGTTCATCCTTAGATCAAGCCCCGACGGCCCTTTGGATCAACAACCTCAACAAATCCACACATCCAACCATTCTTCAAGATTAAGCCCCAATGGCCCTTGAAGATCCGCTCATCCATCATCCTTAGATCAAGCCTCAACGGCCCTTTGGATCAACAACCTCAACAAATCCACACATCCAATCGTTCTTCAAGATTAAGCCCCAACGGCCCTTGAATATCCGCTCATCCATCAACCTTCAAGATCAAGCCCAAAAGCCCTTGAAGAAATCCACACAACCATTATTCAAGATCAAGCCCCGACGGCCCTTGAAGAAAGTGTTCATCTGTTCATCAACTGTTCATCCTTAAATCAAGCCCCGACGGCCCTTTGGATCAACAACTCATCCACAAACCTACACCCTACGAAGATAGAATCAGAGGACCAAATTTGAGAGAGATCGTAACCCCAAAATCATCAAACCAAAAATATTATTTTGTACATGTTATTCTTGTTTCTTGTGTTTCAAGGAACTTTCGTGTTCACATAAACTATTGATCAAAAGAATAGATAAACATTGTAAGGATTCTAAACATGATTCAAAAGTTAAACAACACCTTACATAAACATTCTTCCGGTATGTATATGACTAGCCAATAATTAGTACAATGGTTGTAACTCGGATAGGTTTATTTATGCGAACAGTATAATATAAGTGATCTCCATATAATGAATGTATCGAACTTGATAAGCTTGCTCTTTATATCATCTTTCCACTAATGTAAATCAATGCAACATCAAAGATCAAATGGTCTTTACAAGAGTTGTAACATTAGGCTAGGTTATGAGCGACAAAGAAAATGATTGGGAAAAACTAAAACTTAAAAAATACCAAGACATATCTTCATTATGTAATTCGGCTTGCCCTGTTTTAAAACTTGATTTTCAGTTCCTGGCCCTCTTTTGAAACGACTTATGGAGAGCCTATAAGGTTGCTGTTGTGATTAGTAGACCAGACCCTTTGTTTGAGAACCAAAGCATCGCATCGAATGCGAAGTGTCTTACTTTTCTTTGTCTTGCATTTGCCATTAATCATTTCTTTGTTGGTTGAACTTGTGATTAATCCCAATATACTTTAGGGTTCATTTGGAGGTACCTTTAAAATGATTGAAAAACGCATGTGGTGAAATTGATTTTGGGTGGAAGAAGCACCAAATACTGCAGGAAGCACTTAATTAAAGTGTTTTTCATTTTCACCCAAAATCAATTTCACCAAAAGCATTTGCAATCATTTCAAAAGCACTTTCAAACGAGCTGTTAATATCGATATAATTTGTCAATCAATCGGTCATTAAATCATCTATATTTTAGGTTTTGACTTTCGATTACGCAAGGTTATTCTTATTTAGGCTAATTGTGATTTCCAATCACCACAAATCAATCAGGATAGTGATTGATTTTATGTGATCAGGACGATGATTGATTCTTGTAGTTAGACAATTTTGTCAATGAAATAAATCTACTGTTGTGGACTCCATTTTCAGTTTACTGCTGTCCAATTGTTTCTCCTTTGCTACTATAATTTTTACCATGGTGGCTGCAACTCGATCATCGTTACAAGCCTGTTCAATCTCTGATCCGCTTCCCAACCTGGATCGTCTTCAAAACATTGTCAGGCTTTTTCTGCAAAACTAGACAGAGACAACTATTTCATTTGGCAGGCTCAGCTCGTAACTATCATGCGTAATCAAGATCTATTTAAATATGTGAATGGCTCCTTAACTCCTCATCCTGAATTCATCGTGGATGAAGTTTTGAATATTTCGCTTTGGAATCCAGATTTGGTTACTTGGCAGTAGATGGATCAAGTGTTACTTTCTTGGATCAATGCAACGTTTACTGAATCAATCTGGTAGAGGTTCATGGCTTGACCACCTAGATGTGTGGCACACTTTTAGAAAAAATTTCATGCGCAGTTAATCGCTCGTGCACTCCATCTCAAAGTTCAACTTCGAACCATCAACAAGGGCAACTCTAGTATCTCTGATTACCTTGATAAGATCAAAACTCTTGTAGATGCCCTCGCTGTCACTCAAAATCATGTCTCGGATTCTGACCTTGTTCGTTTCACTATCTCCGGTTTGGGTGCTGGCTGTTGGATATATATATATATATATATTTATTTATTTTTTAGTACATCGATATTTTTACATTGAGGAGAAGGGGAGTTCGGCTTAGCCATATAATGGGTAGCCTAATTTGGTATCAAATTCGCCATCCACGAGATTTGAACCTAAGACGTCTCACTTCCAAATGAAGAGGAATACCATCAGACCGTAGTACTCAGAAAATACTTAATATTATAATATTTAATATTAGTTTGAATGAAAAAATTAGTTTGTGAAGTGTTTCATGCAGAGATGCAACACTTGCCGTGTAGTATTTAAAACATAATACTTGTAACCTTTCCCTAATTTACTTACGGTTATGTCATAGCCATTTGGCTGTCATGGTTACAGAAGTGGTGCTAACCGCAAAGCATCTGTATAGAGTTAGTCATGCTATTTAGAAAAAGGCACTTGGCTTCTATATAAACCCAATAACACTAAGCCATGAGATAAGTAGAAAACACAATAATTAATTACTCTTGAGAAATAGGTTTTTCCCACTCTATTTCTCTCATTCTTCATTTGTCTTTCGAGTCATGTCTTAAGAGTACGGAATATATAAACTTCACCAAAATCCGAAGATTGAAGTGCTTTGACTTTGGTTTATAGATTGTTGAATCATAGGAGACAGACGCCTACCGAACTACAAGCACAAGAGTATGGATGAAATTATGTATTTAGGACATTGCATTTATGCAAGCCTCAATCTCTAAGTTTATTAGTATTTCTAGCTTTCTTTCTAGTTGTTTATATTAATCTTATATATAATTGATGTTGTGAATTTCTTTATAATTATTATTATTGAAATTCTTGTGTTACTTCTATATTTTATATTATTGCTCCAATACTGGTTACAAATCTTTTACAATGTTCATTTATACGCGATCAGTCCTTTCAATGTTTAATCAACTTCGTGCACTCTTACTGAACCAAGAACTTGGACTTCATCAGCTTCACTCTCAAGCTAAAACTGCGCCTCCTGGAAATCGTGGTTGCGGTTTTTTTCGCGATTGTGGCTGCTTTTGTCTATTTTAGTGTATGCTGAAGAAGGATAGACAACAATGTACTCATACAAAAAAAAAACCTTCACAGTTGAAGAAAATGATGAATTTGTTTGTATGTGAAAAGTTCCTTAACACCTTCAATTTTTATTTAATTGGAAAAAATGCATCCTTTTATTTTTCACATACATTTTTGTTAATTTTTATCTTTTGATATTTTTTAAATTTATTTAGTTGACAAAAAGTTAACAAATAAGTGAAAGTAAAAAACCACATGTGAATAACACCGTATGGCGGACGTCACATACAAAATTGGGGCATTTTGATATAGATGCCTCAAATTTAAATTTTTTTAATTTAACATCTATAACTTTTAAACTTTTGATCAAACATTCTTCTACTAATTTTTAATTAAAAACCATGATTTTTATTGTATTTAATTAACCAAATAGTTCAGAAAATAATATCACAAATATTCTAAAATCACCACAAACATCCTATCTTATCTTATCATAATTCGTTCAAAATGAATTTTTCTTATTCAAATAATTTGTTGTTTTAAATTCTAATAAACATCCTATTAACATACAATTATGAAATATAACATGCACATATGTTAAATATTGTTTTTGGTACATTATGCAATTCTTTATTTAGTATGTACCAAGTTATTAGTACGTTGTATTATCCTTATTTTGGTACGTACAAAACTTATGGTACGTTATGTATAAGTTGTGTAACCCAAAAAAAAGATAACTTTTCACATTAAAACATTGCACTAAAATGAACTCTTAATAATTAATTTGGAATAGGACTCATTTTAAATAAAAATGTGAAAACTCTTAGTTCACGTTTCTACTATAAGTAGTTGTTAAAAAATTCAAATTTATTTTCAGTTGCATGAAATTAGACAGTCTAGTCTACATCTCAATTTTAATTATAAACGAACTCTTGTTTTTTTTATAATCTATATAAAATGTTGAGTTGGAAATTGGAAAAACTATATTTTATCCAATTAATCTCGAACCCAGTAGATATAATTGAATCCTTAAATTGAGGATGGGATGAGATTCCATAAAAATAGCAATAAATTAATGAATATTATTGAGTTCAATTTTTTTTTTTTTTACATAGAAATGGATTTAAAAGAATTTATAAAATACTTAAATTAAGAATATACCTAGAATATACAGTTTAATTAAAAATAAAAATATTTTAATCAAAAGTTGAAAAGTAACAGATGTTTAATTTAGAAAAATCTACAATGAGGCATCTAATTTTAATTTATCCTACAAAATTACTAACAAAAGAGAAGGAACAAGGCCGATGCAGACGTGGCATAATCTGAAGGGTTGAAAGGTCCTCCACAGCCAAGATAAATTCTGATATAAATAAGGTCAAAGACCCTTTCTCCGATTTTGAGAGACGCCTCCAGCTGCTGCTGCTTCGTCTACTACTTCTTCTCCAGCGTGACATAGAAACCACCAATTAACCATGGCGGACGACGATTACAACGAAATGGACATCGGGTACGAGGATGAGCCAGTAGAGCCAGAAATTGAGGTGAGGATTTTACTTTAATTTCGTCTCCTGCTTCTTTTAATTATATGATAATTGTTGTTAAAATCTCTGATTAACAAATTTACTGGATCACAAGTTTGTATGTATTGACAAATAAAAGAAATATATTTGAACTTGCGACTTAGTAATACGGTTTGGTGATATTCTGTGAGGTCTGAGGTTCGAATTTCATGGATATCAATTTGATACCATTTTATTCCTCAGGCCTTAGGTTAAATATTGTTTTATAAATGAATAAATTTGAAGAAGAATAATTGGAGATGGACAGGAGGGCGCAGAAGAGGATGCGGATGCGGAGAACGCTAACGATGATCTTCCAGGCGATGCCATTGAAGATGATGACAAAGAAGAACAAGCCCCGGTGGAACGACCGCGAAGAACATCCAAATTTATGACCAAATATGAACGTGCTAGAATATTGGGCACTCGTGCTGTGCAGATCAGGTGTATTTCTATATCAATTTCAGTTTTGAATCTTCGTTGTTGGTTAATTTGAATTGCAAATTGATTGAATGGGTATTTTATATTTGTGATGAGCAGCATGAATGCCCCTGTGATGGTTGAGTTACAGGGTGAGACTGACCCACTTGAGGTACCATTCTCCTACACCTATATTTATGTTCGAAAGCTATTCGACAAATGCATAGAAAGTATAACTATTACTATGTTTATCTGCTGCTTTACTATGGACATGCACAAAACAAGTGCTTGCATATTGGATTTTCGATCCGCGTCCATGTGCCTTCAAAACAACTCCTTTTTATAATTTGAGCAATAGTTAAATGGAAGAACGGCCAAACCTTATAGCGCAATGCAAGTGTAATCAGAAACTCAAAAAGTTTCCGAGAGCTTGTGCCACTGTGTGACTCTTGGAAAATGGCCAGAAATGGCGTGTTGTGACTTGTGACTATGTGCGTATTATCCTTATATAGCATCTAATCGTACATAATAGATAGAATAATATATGTTGAATTAATAACACAATTATTGTCATGCGTAAATTTTTTCTGAATATTTAGGTAGAGATAAATTTTAAATCAAGTACATGAGCACACTTTAAATTGATGCTCAGTTTTTCTTTTTCTACTTTTGGCTTTCTTTGCTTCTATAGAGAAGTTGATCACCCGTATATTAGGATACCATCCTCCGTATTGTCATGTTGTGAATGATTTTCCATAGAATATAAGAAAACAAGTATGGTAATTAATCCGACTTGAGAGATCTCAAATTGTTAGTACTCTAATGATACAATGCGTAGTTTTCCCATATGCTACACTGTATGATCTCTTTTATCATGAATTGTGTAGATTGCTATGAAGGAGCTTCGTGAGCGGAAGGTACCCTTCACCATTCGCCGCTACCTGCCCGATGGAAGGTGCGGTTTTCATTTAGGTTTTGTTCATTTAAAGCATTGTATATTTTGCTTTTGCAGTGATTGCGAAACATTTTAATTGGGTGTGAAATTTTCAGTTATGAAGATTGGGGAGTAGATGAGTTGATTGTGGAAGACTCGTGGAAGAGGCAAGTGGGAGGCGAATGATCATCTACGCATGGAAAATGGTTTCTGATGTTGGTATTTTATCTATAAATTTCCCGTTTAGATCTTCATTGACCTGTAACATTTGTAACATTTTACCTATAAACTTACATGTTGAAAGATTTTTTCTGTCATCTGTAAATGTTTTGATACACTGTAGAAGACATCAGAAATTTAAGGATGTCCTTAACTTTCAGAAATTTAAGGATGCCTTACTTGAGAAAGTTAAGGACATCCTATTTTCGGGGTGTGATTCAACCATCTTTAGATTTCTTTTATTGTCACAGATGAGAAATAAAATACTCAATACTACGGTCTGGTGATATTCTTGGAAGTGAGAGGCCTTAGATTTGAATCTCATAGATGGTGAAGTCAATACCAAATTAAGTTTTTATTGTGTGGCTTAGCTGCACTCTTCATTCTCTTAATGTAAAAATATATATGTATTACAAAAAAGAAGAAGATGAGAAATGAATTTACTGCAAGTGAAACAAAGGTGACTAGTAGGACTGGACTTTGCAAGATAAAAAAGGAACTAAAATTGCGGTTTTGGGTTGGAACTTATCAAGCCGGGTAGATAATGGTTGGATCCGTTAATTACCTGTTTTCGTTCAAGGTGAACCTGCGACAGCCCATACTAATTTATCTCCACGCTCTGTAATTGATTGGCCCCAGCCCTCGGAGGGAGTGACGCAAGGCTGACGTCAGTCATTATTGAGTAGAGACTTACAATTGTATTATTAATTTTAGTCTCAAGACATATTTAATAAGCATGCTTTTACAATCACACAAAATCAGTGAAACTTTGGAATAACGTAAAGTGTCAAATTTATGATCTTCACTCGGTTGGTCCGGTCACTAGTGAGGATAATATGTAAAGAGATAAAGGCAGGGAAGCAAATACAAGATGTACGTAGATCATCCTAAGCTTTACTACATCCACAGAGTAGATGAGTTCTCAATAATAGTGAAGGATTTACACAAATACATAGGTTCAAACATAATCATTATTAGTGGGTTCTAATGACTAGTTTAATTACAATAACGACATTAGAGATAAATTGTAAGAGAATAATCTTTTCAAGTACCCTTATAATCTTTTCAAGTAAGATAAATTGTAAGATAGTAGTTAGGAAGTAACTAAAATACCCTTATAAGTTTTTCCTATTCCTCAAAAATAGACTGCCATAACGAATTCACCAACTGATCATCTTTTCAAGTACAATTATAAAGAGACAAAACTTAATTCAACGGACCAGTGAAGCTACCAAAATAATGGCAAACAAACGACACTTTAAATTTCCTCCCGTTGTAGTTCACGGCCCCACCATCCTCGCCGTTAAAATTCAAATGCTCCTAACGGCTACATTAGAGACCTCAAACCCCAGATTCCATTTTTCAAGAACCAAGAAGCAAACCGAACCCTAAACCCCAAAAACCGAAAGTCCTTTCCACAAATCTCTTAAGTAAACCCAGAAATCTTTCCCTTCGAATTAAAACCCATAAACCCTTTGATCCAGAAACTGCTATCTTTCATTAATACCCAGAAATTCTGATCGTAATCGCATAAATAAAACCCCATTAATCAAAATCTGATCTGATGGATTCAACGGCTATATCGACATCAACGACAACACCCCCTTATCATCTTCATTCTCGGTCCGAGCCACCGTCCCGAGCCAAGTCAGCCTCACGCCTTGCCCAGTGCGAGCATGTCCCTCATCTCTCTCTCGGCCTCATAAAATCTTCACCCAAGATGACTCCATCGCCTTCCACTCATTCCATCAAATCTTCCGAGTCGCTACCTCTTCGCGAACTACTGCTTCTTTCGCCTTCCCCTTTACGAAAAAGATCCAAGACCCGTCTCATGGATCGCCTTGAAATGGCTGATGATCCTGCTGTCGAGGTTCCAGGGCTGCGCCGTAAGTGCAAAAGCAGAGGCTCGCAGATGGGCCTACTGGGTGCCTCGCCGAGGAACCGGAGGTCGCGGAGGCGGTCGGAGAATGAGACTCGAGATGAGAAAGTCTCGGGTTTGGTGGAGGAGGTTGTGAAGCCAAGAAAAAGGCGGTCCAAGAAGGAAAAGCTGGACTTGGTTCTCAGTTTGCCATCCCCAAGTTCATCATCAAGTAAATCCCAATTGGAAATTGCTCTTTTTCTTCTTCGTTCTTTGGTCTTTACATGTTTCTCAGGTTCTTGTGTTTTCGCTGTTTGGTTTTGCAGTCGATGATGAGTATCGGGGTAGTCTTGATCGAATCGGGCAGCTCATGACTGATCTGATTATGTGGAGAGATGTTGCAAGGTCGAGCCTTTGGTTTGGTTTGGGGTCGCTTTTCTTCCTTTCCTCTTGCTTTGCCAAAGGAATCAACTTTAGGTGACTACTAGTCTACTGCTACTCTCATTCACTTTTCCCACATTTTTCCTATTTTAATTTTAGCCTATAAACAAACATCTAATCTTAACCAATTCAATCATTTCAGCATTTTCTCAGCGATTTCCCAAATTGGACTTTTGTTTTTGGGTGCTTCATTTGTCTCCAATTCAATCTGTCAAAGGTACTTCTTGTTTCCCCTTCAGCCACTCGTGTAGGGCGGTTTCATTTGTATCCAATGCTCATTCTTTTATTTCGGCTTAATTCACAGAAATAATACCGAAAAGAAGTGTGATCTATTACTCAAAGAAGGTGACATTCTTGGTGTGGCCAAAAGGATACTACCTGCTGTAAATCTTGGCCTATCAAAGACGAGAGCGCTTTTCTCAGGAGAGCCATCCATGACCCTCAAGGTAATGACAAACAAAACACTAAGGCAGTATTTGAATTCGGAATTGCTTGCTTTGCATGATTAGTAATGGAAGCTCAACTTTTCTGAGTTACAGGTAGCACCGTTCTTTCTTCTGGGAGCAGAGTATGGGCATCTTATAACATTTTGGAGGCTCTGTATGCTTGGTATGCCCAACTTCTAATCAACCAACTCTGTTGTTGATTATTTTCCGTTGCTTTACTTGTTTCGTGTTATAATAATGATCATGGTGCTAACTCTTTGTGTGAAATGATGGCTAGCTTTTTTTATCAGCTTCACAATCCCAAAACTATACTCATGCTACTCTATTCAAATCAACCAAAAAGGTATCCACAATCCACCAATCTACTTTAAAATCTATTGAGTCTGTCGTTATAACTCATCAATGCAGCGTGTTAAACTGAGTGTAATTTTGGTATGCAGTTGACTGCTTGAAATGGTGGGTGTTGGAAGCATGGGGGGCTTGCTCACACAAAAGGATTGTAGCAGCATCAGCAGCCACAGCTTTTTGGAATCTGTCTTCGGTCAAAACCCGTATTTTCACAGGTAATTTTATCGCACTGCAGAATATTTCTGTTTCTGGAACAATCCACTTTCAAAGATGCTGAAGGAAAAAACACCTCACTATTGGCTTTGCCTTAATTTGTAATCTTTGAAACCTTTACCAACTCGTAGTTTGCTGCCTAGTAACATAAATAGATCAATAAGATGATCAAATTCAAATTACAAGGTACAAATACTTCCGTGAGAACTAAAAAAAGTCATTCATGTTATAGCTTCTATTTGCAGTCTCGTAGGAGAAACAAACCTTACTTTTGCCTAAAGATTCTTCCAGCATCATTGTGATTGACAGTAACTATTGATTCTTAAGTTAGAAGTTGTATCTTACCTTTGCAGCATTTATATCTCTTGTAATTCTTCGATACTGCCGGCAACATATGGTGCAACCAATGGAGACTGGGGAAGCAGAGGTGGAGCAGGAGCAGCATCACCAGACATTAGTAGCTGGAGTGGTGGGAGAAGTGGACGCAGACAGAAAACAAGAGCAGAAACAGGCATTAGTAGTTGCAGAAGTGGCAAGCAATAAGTAGTTTCAGTGACAATGTGTTTGTACCTGATGACAACAAATAACTGATCAATAACAATATTTTTACATCTAGAAAATAGTAATTGTTTCAACTTCTTTTATTTTGAGTGCCCTCATCGTCAGCTCTGGCAATTGCTAAAAACCGGAATATCAAGGGATTCTGCTTAGATTTTTCCGTGTCATAGACTCATAGATGACAATGATAGGACGTATGTCTCAATAAATTGAACCAGAGCGAAAACATTTAACCAAATAGAAATTATGCAATACTACTTTAACTAGAGCTATATATTTGCCACACTGTCGAAGTTAACGGTGTCACATTATTACCTCAAGATCTAAGAAAATGCAGATAACTCCTCCAACTTGAATGTTGCAGGTTCATCTCATATCCTGCAGAGCATATGTATAATTTTAAAAAGTCCAACCCCTCTTCTTCTTCGACCCAACTTGCCAGTGAAAACCAAATGACCCTAGAACGGATTTGGAAGAGTGCAGGGAAGAGGGAAATAGAAACACAGTGACAACAACATAAATGAGACCCCCGAAAAAGAAAAATGGGGAGAGAAACGCAGACGGAGTAGATGATTGATATCGGAGCTAATTAGTGAAGCAAACGGGAGGAGACTAGCTGGTGGAAACTTAACTAATCATAGCTAATCTTCCCTCAATACTTCCATAAATCCATCGATGTCATCCTTAATCTTCTCTAATTTCTTCACTGAACTTATATGCAAGATGCTAGAACTGTCCAATAATTTAAACAACTCCATAAAATAAAATAAAAAGAAGAGAAGATATAAGGTTAACTCTGTGTATACGTATACTCCATATACATATTTGTGCGCGCGCGCGCACGCGCGCATTTACTTCTGTAACCTTCATATGCAGCACCTTCATATATGCTAAAGTTCACATCACAAATGATTGACAGGATTACTTGAGGAAGATCTTCACGGGTCAAGGATTAACTGGATCCAATCACTACAAGAAAAATGAGCTTTGGGTACAAAACAAAGGGCACAATTGAGAATTTTGTGTCAGTTTGACCACCAAAAAGCTTAAACAATTCCCATTCCATAGAAGGCACCATCTATTGTGCCCAATGTTAAAATAAGCAGACACAAAACACTAATGGGCACGGAAACCATGTCGAGTGGGGTCACATGACAACTTTTTTTACTGAAAATGGGCACAAAAAACATTTTGTGTCTATAAAAATTATTTGTCAGAGGCACTACGTGTTCTCTCTCGTTTGTCTTCACCTCCTCTAGCACACCAATCATTAAAATTTATAAAATTGTGGTAAATAATGGTATGAAGCTGTTTATTACCGTGCAATATTTTAGCCTCAAAATAAGTTAGCAATAATGTTGTTCAAATTTGTTTTTCCCGAGAACCGAACCTCAAATCTCTCACTTACAAGTAAAGAAGAATATCACTACACCGTACTACTAAGTGGCGCGTTTTAGATTTACAAAGGATCATTTCCAGGTGCAATGAATGTTTGTTAGATTCGTATCTTTTTGAACTGCTTTTTAGATTGTTATCTTCTTGCAGGTTTGTTTTTTATACTTGGTGATATGGTTTTTGGTTTTAAAGTCCTACCTGTAGTGACACATAACCAACAATTGTGCCCTTAGGGTCGGTATCTGTGCAAAAGTTAGTTGGTCTTCAAATAGACAAATGAGTTAATAATTGTAGATTCCTTTTCATGACACTGATGATAGAAATTGTGTCCACTAAATATTAATAAATAATAAATCACTCTACTTCTCATTGGGTCTTCAAATAGAGAATATATCTTAATAATTATAAATTCCTCTTTTCTGACACAAATGTTAGAAATAGTGTCCAGTAAATATTAATAAATAATAAATACTCTATAGCAAAAGAATATGTTGGCACAATTATGGATTTGTGCCTTTATTCTACTATAAAACGTTCACACACTCCCTTACTAATTTGTACATGGAAATTTAGAAGGTTGCTTCATACACTTGTGTTTCTTTTGAATTTGATCAAGTTCTACATCATTGAGAATGGCGGACAGGCGAACGTTGTGGAGTTAGAATTGGAACCGAATCTCTAACATCACATTCATATATTGCTTCCAACATTACAACAGCAAATTCCACAACAAATCCTCCAGTTCAATGTCCACGACAACCTGTTAATGTCGGGCACATACCTCGTTCTTTTGATAATCAGTACATTCTTACTACTTTTGTTGATGGTCGCCTTGGCTACGCATTACCCTTTAATAACGGATGCGTATGTGCACCTCAAGGACGTGTATTGCCAGCATGGGCAAACTCAGGTAGGACAGAACAATACCCTGTCAAATTGGTTTCTGCTGAAGCAACAACTGAAGAGTCTAGCAGTTCTGTCATTATTATTGAAGAACCACGCACTTATGATGCGAGAATTATACGCACACAAATTAAACCCTCTTTTTGTCAATTGTAGTATAAGTATAAGTAGGGATCATTCTGGACCGGGGATTAGGAGGGATTGTTAACCACTTGGATTTGACTTCAAAAACGTAAAAACAAGTTTAAAACACTGTACTAAACTCGAAGAATGCAAAACTAAAAGTAAGAAAGATTAAGACTAAAACTTAAACAAAATATGGGGGGGGGGGGATTTAGGCTTGGACGAGATTAAACTAAAGTGGATAGATTGCAAAGAAAACAAATTGTAAATACGAAATTGACGGAAATGAATGGATGGGAAAGCTAGCTAAGGGGTTCATCTCCACACATGTTATACTTGCATACAAACCGATTTCTAATTGCTTTTCAATAAACCATGAATTCTCAACGCCCCGGGTTAATTAGGTCCGCTTAAATTAACCGTCAAGTTTTCCTTAAGTTAATGAATTGGATGATTGCATACGACAATCCAAAGCATTCCTCACAAGTTCCCTACATGAATTGCATAATAGAGATACAAGCAAGAATCATTAAGCATCATGAAAACTATAAGTGTTGACGAGGCATTCGTTACTATGATTGCATGAAACTTATGCCAAGAATATGTTTAACGCGATTGTTTATAAGCAACCTCCACTACTTGTGAATATAAGTTCATAACTATTACGTGAAACTCACTTATATTCTAGCGTCAAATTCATGCATGAAAATTAAGCGTTCATTCTTAATAAACATACATAAATAGGTTATCAATCAAACAGTTAAACAAATTGAATTCATAACTTATGAAACGTAATTAAAAGTAATCAAATCATATTACAAACATAAACATAGTTTCGAATCACCCCCTAGCTAACTAAAGGGGGTTTAGTTCCTCATAACTTTGAAATCAAAGAAACACCTAAACATTCCAACAACTCAAAACTTGAATTGTATGAATGTTTAAGCACTCTTTTCTTCCATTTCTCATACGTACAAAACAAAGAGAATTAAAATGAAACTTTGAAATCAAAGAAACACCTAAACATTCCAACAACTCAAAACTTGAATTGTATGAACGTTTAGGCACTCTTCTCTTCCTCGTTGTTGTAGCACAAGGTTTAAGGATATGTTGGTTGGGGGGATGGAAGTGTTGGGGAATTATGGAAATGGATGAGGATTGGTGGAAATGGAAGATGGTTTTTGGATTCTAAGGGAGAAAGGAATGTGTTTGTGGTGTGTTGTTGTGTTGTGAATGAGATGATCTTTGAATGAATGAATGCAAGGGTATTTATAGGAGGAGTGGAGATGTATATAGCTATTTGTTTAAGGTGTTTGTGGTTGCAATGATGAAGAATTGCATGTGGAAATAAAAGGGAAAATGTGGTGAAATGATGAAGTAGGAAGGTGGAAATGCATGTGAGATGTTGGAAAGGAAATGGGAATATGAGTAGGCCATGGCATGGGAGTTGTTTTGTTGGTGTAAATGTGCCATGGTTGCAATGATGAAGAATAAAGGGTGCATGTGGAGTGGAATTGAATGAATGCAAAGTGAATGAATAATGAAATGAGTTAAAGAGGGAGAATGTGGTGAAATGATGAAGTAGGAAGGTGGAAATGCATGTGACTTGTTTGTGGAATAAAGAATGAATGGTGGAATGATGAAGAGTTGCATAAAGAATGCATGTAGGGTTAGCTAGGTTGGCTTTGTTTGGGTGCATGTGTGTTAATGGTGGTTTTGCATGTGAATTGATGGATTGTTTTTTATGGAATGGATGGTTCTTTGCATGGCTTTTGAAGTGATTATGGGCTTTGGAATTGAAAGGAAATGCATGGCCTTGGGGTTGGTTTAAGAGAGAATGGGCTAGGCCCTTTGTTTTATGTCCAAAATGAATACAAGGCCTTCAAATTCGTCCAACACTTTGGCTCCAATCATATGCTATCCATTCCAAGCCCAATTTTGCTCCAAAATGCTCCAAAATGCATCTTTTTGCTTCCTTAGCCATATGAACCTAAAAACACACGAAAATGGCTTAAACTACTAAAACAACTATGAATTAACAACATAGATGCACGAAAACAAGCTAAGTAAGTCGCCTAAATATGCTCCTATCAACTTATCAAGCACAAATTCGTCCTAGAGGTTTGTCTCTCCCACAGTTGAGCTCACGAAATATGCAGAATGTTACCGTTGAGATTTTAAGCAGCGATGACGAGGACAATTAATATATTTTGTATTATGTTATATTTCACTGGTTTGTGAAAATATAATTATGTTATGCTATGCTGGACTCCTTTTATCAACTTATGTAGTATTACAATAGAATAATGTTTTCTTTCTAATTGGCCCATGATATAGATACTCCTAACATTATATATTTTTTGGTTTATAATTATGTTTCCCGGTTCATACAAAAAAGAAAAAACAAAAGAAAAGAAAAAAGAAAAGAAAAACGAAAATAATAAAAGAACAACGCAAGCCTTTTATGATGCTAAACACAATTAACCTTCGATAGAGCTTCAAAATTAAAACAAAATTGGACTATAACTAATAATGGCTTTGTGAAATCGCGTCCCCGGAATTTCACTATTAATTACATATCTTGTTATTTAAATTCGTATTTCATGTTTACATTATTTTCATTAGTTAATTTTAATTCCATTGATTTTTGGAATTAAATCGAATAAGTATCCTGTTTGAATTTTTGTAATCAATCTTTAAAATTCGTTGACCTTTCAAGTTCACAATTGATGTTTTCAAATAGATCTCGAGACCACGAACGCATAGACGAAAACCGTTTGCGAGTCCGGATTATAACGGTATAGTTACAGATATTTGAAGTCGTTTCACTAAACTATAGATTGAAATGAATATAAACTCCAACCTTGTGGGAAAGAGGCCATTCAGGCCAAAGGGAAGGAACCAATCAGTTAAATGGTGGAGGACCAATCCGAATTTAAGGGGGGGTGGTTGAGCAACCAACCAGAAATCAGGAAGAAAAAAAAATTACTATGCGAATCGATGCTTGAGTTATGCATTGCCATATCCCGAAGGTGGGGTATGATAAATGCACGGATACTTGATGACATCACGTGTCGATTTGAGACGTATATCAGGATCGGGAGTGACAAGCTTATAAAATTGGATTTATACTAAGTTTCCTCTTCTCTAAATTGGACTTCTCCCTCTATTTTATGGTGAAAGTTTGGGTTTCCCACCACTAAATTCAAAAACTTAGGTTTCCACCACCGCATTACACAATTGTGCCCACTAACTCTTATAATAATAATTAAAATTCTACCCTTATTCTATCTCGGGTCCCTTCTATCTCTTTCCCTTTAGTTTCCCCTTCCGCTCTGCCTCCCCTCAGATTCTTTCTCTCACCTTTGTGTCTCTCTCTGCAACCCCTACCTTGTCTACAAATTGTGGAGGCTCTTGAGCTCCATCATTGCCAGAATCCCCTAGCAGAAACCCCATGCACGTGATGGAGGAAGGTTTGGAACATTGGGGTCTGGTAAGAAGGGATCAAGGGAGGGGGTGGGTTGGGTTTGGGATGATCGGTGGATGTAGAGCCTGAATCGGAAATCGCGTTGGGATCCGAGTCCGATAGGGAGGGATCATGGGAGGGAGGTGCGTCGGGTTAGGAGGTGTTGGTGAGGGAAGGCAGGTGCGAGTCGAAGAGGGAGTGAGGAGTCGTGGTCGTCATCAATATTTCATTGCCGTTGTGGAAACCTTCAAATTTGGAGTCAGCCGCACCTTCATTGCCACCTCAACAAGCTTCCGATTTTGGGTTCGACCTCGAACCACACCAAGCTCGCAAAATTTCGGCTCTGTCAGCCCAATATCGCTCTAAAGCACGCAACAAATGCGTCCATTGTTCTGGTCGTACGAGCGCAGAGTTCTTCTAGTTTGTCTTCTTCCCATTTTCTAGAAAAATGGTTTATGGTTTTTCAATGTTATTGCATATTCCATTCAAATTATGATTTGGGTGTCTCAGATTTTAAATTTTAAATTTTGGCATGGCTTCAGACTCCATATTGTTGGTTGCTCGTAGGTTATGTCCCAGACTCCAAATTTTACAAAGTTGAAGCGATTCTAAGGTGCAGAAACGATTCACTCATCTGTTTGGTTCTTAATTTTGTTTAGGTTGATTGTTTATAGCTCTGCATGTCTGCTGTGCTTTTTTCTTCTATTACTTTTGTGTGTGGAATACATGAGGTTATGGGTTTTACTTTCATCTAATTATTTCTTAATCTTTGCTATGATTATGGGACGAGCTAGGCCCTGTTGAGTTTCGCATGTTTCTTTGGTAAGAACTGTTGTACCTTAAACACAGCATACTGCATATTAGTTGGCATTGCATTTTACATTGGCATAATAAAATTAGGAAAGCAACAAATTGATGTTTCAAATTTTGTTGATTGGATAGTAGGAAAAATAGCTCTCTGTTTCTAAGCCTGTGTAGTTATCTAAGCACCATCCCATCATCTTCTGCAGTTGCCTTTAATCCTTTTTAAACACTCAAATCCATTTGCATATATCGAACATATAGTCCCGACTGATTTGGATTGGAGTTCAAACACGATAAACATTGAAGGTTAATGAAATTCTAATCTAGAGTGCCATTGATGTCACTGGACCTAAATTTTGATTGCGGTGTGGCCTGTTGCGACATGTCAAAAGATCAATTAGTAGTTGTTAGTCGTACCACTATACAATTCATTTCTGGAATTTAATGAAAATTATTTGTGATTATTGCTTGGAATTATATATAAGATTTTGAAAAGTTAATTCCTTTTATTGCTTCTTCTTGTTCGTCATTGCGGATGCTCATAAAGGATATAAGGTGATGGGTACAATGTTAGTAATAAAGGGTTAGTTTGTTGACAGACTGCTTGAACTATTGAATAATGTTGCAACTCTCCCCCATATTCCTGATGTTCTTTCCTCTTGTTTTATCGTCATGTCATACTTCGTTTTTGGGTTCATCTGTTAGTTTCTGCTGAATTTGAACCAATTTTGGCAGTTGGTTGTTGATCCTACCACCAAAGAACTATTGCATTATACTGAGAAGCTAGTGACTTTTGTATGTACACGATGCAATTACTGTCCCAAAATTGTTCATTTAGTTGTTGCTTCATGATCTCAATTCTTTGTTTTATGTGCTTTGTTACATGCCATATTATGTAAGGGTTATCTATTTTCTAAATGCAGGTGAGTGATTTGATCAATTGTGGTCTATATGTATTTGTTCCCACATATTTTACTGCCATTCAAGAAGTCTCCAGTCATCGAGAAGGCAGAGGTTGGTCTTTTTCTTCACTGGCATTATAGTTGGGGATTGGTTTGCACTTGGGATCAAATTCTGGCTCTAAAAATATTATATCACTTGATTTGTAATTATTGAGAACAAATTTGATGATCTCATGGCCAAATGAATTTTGTAGATTATGGATTCAATTATTTCTCATGGTTGCTTCTTGCGAGAATGTAGCGTTCAACACTCCATTGTGGGTGTGCGCTCACGTCTAGAGTCTGGAGTCGAACTTAAGGTGAGCTACGCTTTCTACGCATTGGTAACAACAGGCTACCAGATTCCAATGTGTCAATCATGAAATATTTCAAGCGGCAGTTAGAATGCGCTTGAAAACATAAGCATGCTAGTGTTACGAGCTCTGATCACATTTGGTTATTTTAAATCGATTTTCAGGATACTATGAATTCTCAATGTTGATTGGATGTTTGGGTGGTTAAACATCACTGAAAATATGTGATCCTTTCCCTTTTTCATTTTTCCTTTGGTTTGGATTTCAGGAAGGTGATTGCATAATCCACTGAGCTGGGAAAAAGGGTAAAATCAGTTATGGGTGGCAATATGTAGGAATGCATGGATACATTGATAGGAAAATCTCATTATTTTGTTGGTCTTTTATCTTTAACACTTGTAAACATGTTCTTTATGAGGAATATTTCTGTAATTTCATTAGACATTCCATTTCTACTATTGGATCGCTTTTTACAGCAGAGGCTGCTATCTTTGATTTTATGAAAATTTTAAATTTTTGGTTTTATTTCAAAATTTTGCATTTCTATTTTTTTTTAAATAGAACCTACTGGGCACAATAACAAAAATAGTGCAAATATGGATGGAGAAGGTCATCTGACGAGTTTGTTAGAACATAGACACAAAAAGGCCTTTATTTGTGCCTGTGTCTTTGAGCACCAAACCGTGTATTATGCCCTTTTAGCAATGGTGATGCCTATAGAGGGCACAAATACAAACTTAGTTGCTGCAAGGTTGCCATTGGTCTATGGACACATATGTTGGTGCCCTTTGACCTCAAAGGGCACAATAATTTATAGTGTGCAGTGTCCATATTTTTTGTAGTGAATCATCCAAATTCTAAGTAAATTGTAGACGAAAAGGTACTAGACAAACCATAATTAAGGGAAATCCATATAACTAGATGTCTTAAAATAGTATTAATCTAATTTATTGCTCAAGTCCATTATTTTTGTTTCATACATAAATAACTTCATAATAATGAAGGAAATACTAATATGGATCATCTTCGAGAATCTATGTAATGGACGATAACTATGATCGGATTCTTCAGTACTTCTCGAGGAAACTCTTGAACCAGTGTGCTGAGAGCTTGGGGTACCTCTTTTGGTTGTTGTAATCCACATAATTGATACCAAACCGAACAGTATATCCCGAACTCCATTCAAAATTATCCAACAATGACCATGCAAAGTATCCCTTCACATTGACACCATCCCTACACAAAATGGAAGCAAGAGTTAAAATGCATCGAAGTGTCAAATTGTCAGCATAATAATTTTTTTTATTTTAATCCGAGTTAATGTATAATTAAGAACTTACTTGATTGCTCTTTGAAGGTAATATATGTGGTGATAGTAGTAATAAACTCGCTGGGTGTCATTCAGGGCTTCCGCAAGTGATAATTTGGGATCATTGAACTCATCAACACCTACAATATGTCCGTAGTTTCAAAATATGGGTTTTGCAGAATATTGTATTTCACCATATACATTCGAAACATTGGTTATGCAATCGATTAGGCTTAAAAAAGTCGTTACCATTCTCAGTAATGTAAATGAGTGGATCATGATACTTTTCCTTCGTGTAGAGTAAAAGGTCTCGAATTCCTTTTGGATAAACATATAGCCAGTCTGAAGCAGCCTGCAACTCATTGGATGATAAATAAGCTCAGTACGTAGAGAAAACTTGATGCTTTAATCACAGATAGTTCAAGCTAACAATCTGACGTTACCTTTGGACCGATGGGGACTCCATTCTTCTCAGCTGCCAGAATATATAGGGTTAATTATTAGAGTATAATTATTCCAATTAACTAAATTGCTAGAAAGTTTTTAAATTTGTACTCACGTGATTCATTAGAGTGAGCATCTGTTAAATAGCATGCATTTACAGAATTGTTTGGAGGTGCATAACTTGCATAGTAAGCAGTATAGTAATTTAATCCAAGAAAATCAAATGACCCCTTTAGCAACTTGGATTGTTCTTTCGTAAACTTTGGTAATCGGTTTCCAACAAGAGATCGCATGCTGTGTGGATAGTCGCCACTCGTCAGTGGTTCCATAAACCTGCAGAAACATGGAAATTGCAAGCATGAACTTGTTGTCCAATGAATAATACATTCGAAAATGAACATTTAATTGAGTTAATCGATATACTTACCATCCAAACATAAAATCCAATGATCTTAACGCAGCGACTTTATCGTGCTTTGCCTCAGAAACCGGAACAAACCAATGTGACGCCAATGTTATTGATATCATGCCTTTCTGAGATGCCTGTACATGTTCATGCAGATTTGATTGAGCAACAAAAAGGTACAATATTTGTCTATCTAAGTAATAAATTACTTGATCTTGTATTATCACGTAGTATTAGTGAATCATATCAAAACTTTCAACTACAACCAAATATTCTGACCAAAAAATAATACCTGATATTTATCCTTGTATACTTTTACAGCAGCTGCATGAGCAAGGAGTTGGTGGTGTGCCACCAAGTATGGTTCAGTAGCCGAATTTCCACCGGTGCAGTTTAGTTGCTGCCACGCAGAACATCGTCCTGGTGCTAAAGACCCGCTAGCATAACCACCTTTGCTATAGGTCCATGGCTCATTCAACGTGATCCAATGTTTTACTCGGTCGCCAAATTCATCGTAGCAAAGTTCTGCATAGTCTTGAAAATGTTTGCTGCGATTTGGAAAATTGAAATTAATGGCATGCTGATTTTGAAGTCCATATGACTCATATTAGTTTTTCATTTAATTAAAGACAAAGATCATTCGTGGAGGTTAAAAGTTGTTCACTCACACAATCTTAGGGCTTAAGAAACCGCCATATTCGTCTTCTAAATTTTGAGGAAGATCCCAATGGAAAAGTGTCACAAATGGCTTTATACCTAGAGTGTGACATGTAAAAGCAGAAAATAAGTGCAAAATTGTTTATGAATATGTTCTGTAATAATTTCCTATATTCAATAAATGAAATATCATATTTTTTTTTAAATAAAAAAAAAGTTCAGAAAATAAATGAGATTATGCAAATGTATCACCATTGCGTAGAAGTTCATTGATGAGATTGTTGTAGTATTTGATTCCTTCCTTGTTAATACCCCCACTGAGCTTTCCATCTATGATAAGAGCAAATAAACGTTACATTATATGTGTGTATGTATGTATGTATGTATGTATGTATTTTTGGTTATATTGTACAATGGATGTGAAATACAAACTTACTTGGTAACAATCTGGACCATGAAATAGAGAATCTATAAGCATCCAACCTCATATTCTTCATAATTCCCACATCTTCCTGTATATAACACAAATCATTTTATCACCTATGTCTTGTGTTTGTTAAGGCCCCATAATTTTGTCTAACCTATGATGTTATTGAAAGATAAAGTCTTACTCTCTTAAGGTCTTTATTTTGAGGACATGTGAGGACTAAATGAATATTAGCCACAATATTATATTAGTTTAGAGCCAAAGCTTCTTAAAATATTTCACAACTTAATAAATAAAAATAAGAAATGTGTTTTTTAATGGTTCATAAATTTTAAGTTGGTTTTGGTTTATGAAGTTGTCAAATATTTTAAGCCCTTAAATCTAAACTAATATAATCTTGGGGCTAATATGCATTTGGTTCTCATGGGTCCTCAAAATGGAAGCAGGATAGTTGAAAGATAATATATTAATTAATTGGACCCTTGCAACTACAAATTGTCTAGGAGAATAAAGTTAGTGTGATTTTTACCTTATAACAGTGATATTCATCGTTAGCAACATCTCCATTGCTACCATCTTTGATCTTTTCTGCATATTATCATAGAAGGTTTTGATTTTTAATTTAGAGCATAATGATGACCACATAAATCCTTATATACAAGTATACGTACACCGACCAGTCTCCCGCCTTCACACTAATTAGTATTGATAAAAAATTACTGCAGAACACCGAATCCGACAACTTTGAATATTCTGAATTTGAAAATAAAATTTGACTGAATTTTTTTGGATTGAAAACTGGAAACCTTGTTCTCAATATGATTCGATTGGTTCGAAAATCATCCATACGAATGTATTCTCTCTCCTTTATATCTCTAAATCACACCACATGCAAATTGTACTCACGTGGTTTAGGAAATGTAAATATTCAGTTCATACTTTTCAAGTAAAAACTCACTGAAGGAACCTAGGGATGACAATTCTAACCGTTAAATCCAATAACCGTAGATAATCGTCCGAATGGATTGGATTTGGATATGAAAATTCGGGTATGGTATGGATATGGGGAAAAACCGTAAACTTTATTCAGTTATGGTTTTGAATATGGTTATAGGGGTCCCCAATCCGTATCCGTCCCCGAATCCGACCCATATATATATATATATATTTTTTTTTTCTTTTTTGATATATAATATAATTTTATTCAATTTACCAAACTCTCCCTATACTAATTCGTTATGTATGCATCAAATTCTATACTATCTTTATTATGCACCAAATATCATGCATGAGGCATACCAACAACCTCATCAATTCAATACTCTTATTGTTATATTCAACCAAATTAATTCATTGAATTATTTTATATATCAATTATCAAATATTACAAGTTTATCATATTCATCTCTTTTCAAGAGTCTCACTGTCAAAAAATTGGTGCATGTTATTATGAACAACTATAACATCATATCGATGACACAAGGAATAATATATAAACAAAACTGACACAATTGCTAATTTAATAATCTATAATATAGCTGCATACTTGTACGTATATAGACCTTACATGTACTAGAATCTGCTATAAAATATTAGATACACATAAAAAAAGTTTAATTAAAAATAAAAAGAATGAATTCACTAATATATACTCCTTTGAAATGATTCTAAGTTCAATCTGCATATGTTAACTAGCTAATTATTTGACTAGACATACACACCTGGATATTTGTGGGTGTAGGTGTCCCATATGCTTGGTCCTCTACCATCTTGTCTTGCAGCACCTTCATACTAGAGAAAAAAAAAACATACACACACACACACATACAAGAGTAGAAACCACTATTAATATTTAATTTCAACATTAATGCATGATGCTTGGTCTGACATTGAAAGAAAAGCCTAATCAACTAATTAAAACTCAAAAAAGGGTAATTAATTACTAAGCCTTTGCAGAATGATTGGAGCGTTTTTTACATCAGTGCACTTATAATCAAAGTGTAACGTTACGTATCATAATATAAGTAGAGGGTTACTGAAAAATGTATTCTCTCTCCACTTATATTATGACATATAGTGTAGTAGGTTTTCTTCCGAATATATTGAAAAATCTGTTGAAGGACTGACCTGATAAGAGGATGAAGCAGTGCCAAATATAAACCCTGCTGGAAAACTGCTCCTGTTGAGGAAAGCAGTGTCATAAACACTGGGTGTAATCGCAGCGTTACTACTTGTCAATGCAAGGCCAACTAGTAGTAGCAGCACGCATGACAGAGAAGACCCTAATCGCAGCGACATAACTTGCTCTCGTAAGTTTTGGTGATTGCTCTCGTAAGTTTTGGTGATTTAGATACGTTGGCTCTTCATGGCTTGGGGTTCATATATATAGAGCCGATAGGAGGAAGTACTAAGACTAGTCTTTGATTGGATAAGATAAGACACCTTCGCAATATGTTTTCGAAGAAGCCGCGAAGTGAAGAAGACATCTTTGACATACATTCAACGGTCAATTAATCGCGTATTATAACTTAAAGCTCAAATATTGGGCAAACGAATGTATAATTAGGTTGGTTAATACATATGTAAATGTAGAGAAATGCCTTTATATACGTTATACAACATAATATGTTTTTTCTTGTCAATCTGTAAATTTAGATAATTGATTAATAATTTTAATTAAAACGAAGAGAAACTACACAGAGTCAAATTATAAGACTATATTTTGGGGAGAGACAATTTTTTTATTTATTTAACAAACTTATCCATATAGCACATGATGTCATAGTTGTTTTTCAAATTACCTTTATATTTACAATTTTACTCCTCTTTGTTTGGAAGATAAGGGTCAGTTTGGATGTGCTTTTAAAATTTCTGAAAGCGCTTTTGATTAAATTGATTTTGAGTTTCAAAAGCTCTTTAAGTGCTTTTTGGAAGAAGCACCAAATATGTGCTTCTTTCAGGAAGCACTTAAAGTGCTTTTTCAGGATCCACTTGAATTTTTACTAAGGATTGATATCAAAAATATTTTCACCAAAAACGTTTTCCGTCATTTTGAAAGCACATTCAAATGAGGCATCTCTTAATTTCTCTCTCTCCTCCTTTTTTTCTTCAGTACTTCTCTCCCCTCCTCCTTGAGAAATTTTTCCAAGTGCCGGGAACACCATGACACATGGTGTTCCCTCACACATTAGGATTTAGTTTTATTTATTTATTGAAATATAAAATTGAAGGATATTCAAGATGTCAAATCCTAATGTGTGAGGGAACACCATGTGTCATGGTGTTCCCGGCACTTGGAAAAATTTCTCCTCCTCCTCCTCCTCCTTCGTCGTTCTCTCTCCTCGTACTCCCCTTTATCCGCCACTTTTTCTTTGTACTGTTCCCTAGATTTATGAGTTTTTTTTCCTCTTTTATGATAACGATTTGGATTTTTTTTGTTTTTTTATGGAAAAATTGGTATTAGGCACTTAGTTACTAATGTTCATTGACTGAGACCTTCTTACCTTTTAGATTTTAATCGAAGTTCCTAACATTAATGTATTAATAAATATACATGTTAGTTACAAAAAAAAAATTAATGAAAAAATTAACTAATTTAGGGTTTTAATACTCACACATTTTTTAAACTCCTAATTAATTTTCAGTTCAAAACATTTGCACAAAATATATATATATATATATATATATATATATATATATGAATAAGTTTGTACCATTAATTTTATTTTAAATCAACTTTTTCATTTTTAAATGTACCCATTCATACAATTTTTTTAATTTTTTTAAATTTTAAATGTACTATTTCAATATACCAATTTATTATATGTAAAATGTACCTTTTTTTAATTAAAAAAAATGAGTTTATATAAAATCCATTCAGTTTTTTTAATCCATTTTTAAACTTATATGGATACATTCTTTTTAGTTGATTTGAGAATGTATTCATGCCAAGTTTAATCGAAAAAAATTATTAATGTTATTAAGCCTACTATTTTTTTATTTTTATTTTATTTTTTTATTTTTGTGTGTGGTGCTACATGTTTTGGTACAATAATATTTTGGTTAATTTTAATGAAGGTATACATATTTATATATGTATATCTAATATATTGAAGAGTATAATTTATATATTTTTAATCGCACATATTTTAGGTTTTATTTACAATCTCATCAATTAAAATCTAGAAATTTCAATTTTTAGTTTAAAAATATAATAACCTTCATAGAAATAAGTTATTACATTAATGGCAGAGACTTCGATAAAAAACTAAAAATTAACAAGGTTTCAACCAAAGAAAATTGATAATTGGTGACCGCATCCAAAGTTTCCCTTTTTTATTTTAGTATTTTTTGAACTTATTTGATTTTTGAGATTTTGATGATTTGGATGCATGAATTTTGAAACTGATCTTGCAGAAGTGCTAAAATTTTCAAAATTGATATAGCAGAAGTGTTGAAATTTTGAAACTGACCTTGCAGATGCAAAGGTGCTGAAAATTTTGAAACTGATCTTGCAGAAATATTTGAATTTTGAAAATGATCTTCTACAAGTGCTAAAATTTTTATCTGAATTTTAGTTTGAAGGAAAATTATTTTCTCATTAGAAAGAACATTTTATTTCGTTTTTTTTTTCAAGAATAGTTTATTTCTTTCAATGGTACCATATTCGATTATCCATGTTAAAATTTGACTATCCACATTTTTGTTTCATTGATGGCCTTGTTGCCACGATTCACTGAGATTTAGCCCCTGCGTTGCTTCGATTCGTTCCTCAAGAAAAAAAAAAAGAAAAAAAGTTTTCTTACATGCAAGAGAAATTATCGTAAATGGTGAATTGCCTACCCTTTTTCTTCTTCTTCTTCTTTTCATTTATTTTTATTTTTTTAAAATCTACTGTATTGGGTTTAAAATTTAGTCTCTTTAGTGTAGTTTAATGGGAAAAATATTGATTTTATTAGAAAATGATAAATTATTTTTTATTTCAAAAATAATTTTACTTCTCAATGAATGAGTAGGAATTCCTCTGCAATATGTTTTGTTACAAACCTCCGACATATGATCGAAATTGTTTATATTATAAACTACTGACTCTTTCCACACGCTTATGGTGTGGCAATTTGCTCTTTTACATCTTATTTTATTATTATTTATTTGTGATTTTTATTTATGTTTAATTTGGATTTTTCTATAAATTAAATTGTTCTAATTTAGTATCCTAACAAGCCTTTTTCCACACGCTTATGTGCGTGGCTATTTGTTTTTAAACATGTTATTTTTTATTATTTTTTTGTGATTTTTATTTATGTTTACTTTGGATTATTTTATAAATTAAATTGTTCTAATTTAAACTTCTAATTAGAAAGGGATATTTTGGGAATATTGAAAGCTTCACCATTTTGTGTGCTCTCTTTATATATAGATAAAAAAAAAAACAAAAATTAAACTGATATGGTTCACTGGACTTTTTTTTAGGGTACTGCTATTCACACACCTCTTTTTATCTCCCACACACTCCTATTAATTATTTTCCATTAATTTTCTTCAATTCATTTGATCTAGAAGCTAAAAATTAAGAAAAGTGTGTAAAAAGTAATAAAAGCGTGCTCCTTCCTTATCTGTTATATATGCTCTATAATTATATAGCATGGAACCCTTCTAATTGAGACCAAATGATGATGTCTCGCATTCATCCAACGTGTATCATTTATTTATTTATTAATTAGTTAATTTGGAGCTGTATATAGTTTATTATTATTATTATTATTATTATTATTATTATTATTATTATTACTATTACAGCCAATATTATTATTTTAATCAACATTAATTAGAGGAACATTGATTAAATTTGGAATATAATGTGTTCTTTTTTTTTTCCTTAAAATGGATCACTTGATGGCTTCGTCAGGGAACCAACTTTCCGGAGGCCGGCAAGAAATACAATGTGTTGATGAGAAGGTTGTAACTATTAGATAATCCTTACCTGCGAAATTGCGTATAGTTAGGAAGAAAGACTAACAATAATAACCAGAAGGGATTAAGTACCCAAAACTCCAAAGTTTTTAGTGTCATTCCAAATTGGTCTTAACCTTTTTAAATATTCCAATATCAAGTACCAAAACTATTAAAAATGTCACATATGTTAAACCCCTATTAATTTTCAAACATAGATTATATTCTAAACCCACCAACTAGTATATCATGGTCAACATTAATATTAGTTGCCTCAAAATCTAAATTTCAAACATAGATTATGTAATATGGAACCTAATGATCAAATGGGCACTAAATTGAATGGAAAATGGACCCAAATTGAAATTGCATTAAGAGGGCAATCTTTTAACAAAGAGGAGGGTTAAGAATTTAGAATTTAGATAGGGTTTTCAAGAAGCTTGTTTCTGCTCATGTGATTTCCTCATTGACTGATTCTCAGCTCGTAAAATTTTCAATTCTTCTTTGTGAGCGGTTAAGATTGTGTTGGCCTCATCTTGGCATTCCATACCATTTCATCAATCTCCATGACCTTCTTTTTGATGTTGGCAGCTTGAGTTGCAAGGTTGAGTTGGTGGTTTTGGATTGGTTTTGAAGGTGATGACTTGATGGGGGTGTTGGTGACCGTTAGTTGGTGGAGGCTATGCTTCCATGACTTTCTATTGATTTTGGAGACAAAGTAAAACCTAGTTAATTTAATAGATTTTTAGCACGGGCTTAATGGATATGACATTTTCAATATGTTGGGCACTTACTTAGAATATTTAAAAAAGTTAAGACCTATTTAAAACAACACTAAAATATTTAGGAGTTTTAATTACTTAATCCATTAAAAAAAACTAATAGAGGAGGGGGCGAGGTCAAAGTCTATTTGTGAGGGTATGAAAATTAATAGCTATATATATAAAGTTGTTCTTTTCTTGGCTTGATTTTAAATATGATCTTGACCTCCATGAATTGCCAAAGGAAAACATTATAATTATCCATGAGTTTGAAAATTCTCCAGGATTTGCATGCTTATCTTATATTTTAGGATAACACAAGTTTATCTTATAAAGAAAATTGAGGCTTCAATCCTAAAACTCATTGACATGCAATTACCCGCTCAATTAGTTCTCGCAAAATTTTCTTAATTTTCTGAGAACAATTTTTTACATTTTTATTAAATTCATCTAAACTATAGGAAGAGAAAATCAAATACTGGACATCGTATAAAAAAATAGATATTCTTAATCAACTGAGTTACAAGCTTACTTGTCTTTTTAATTTTTTTTTTTACGGAAAACTAATGAAAAGAGTTTAAAAACTTTAAGTTTTAACGATAAGGACAAAATAAAGAGTAAAGTGAATA